TTGACCTGCCTGTCCTCCTCTTTAATCCAAAGGTGCTGATGAGTGAATACAACAGAAAGACACATTTAAATTTCATCTCGCAAAAATATTCAATAAGTTCGACACAGCGAGAGCAAAGCATAAAACAGTTCAGCATTATTGCAAGGTAAGGTGTGTGTTTGGTTGTGTGTGTGTGTGTCCTTGCCTTGAGACAATAATGTCCTTGGCTGTCATTGCTGAGACAATCACTTTGAGACTTGCCTGGAACATGTTTACACTGACTGTGGCCTTCTGTCTGTTTGGTTCTCATGCAGCAGATCTCCTAACAGGACGATACAGAATCCCAAAAATACAAATAATGTGTTTTTCTTTCCAGTATCTGACCCCAGACAAAGATCTTTGTTTGGTACTTCCTAACTCTGGGGCTGGAAGAACATACTACTATTTTACAGTAAAGACAGGGCACAGAGGCTGACGGCGGGGGAGTTTAATAAGCGAGGCAGGGAGATATACAAAAATAGGCAAACAGTAGGACGAGAACGTGAAAGACGGAGCCGAGAGCACTCGTTCCTCTGAGAATCATTATACGAGACGGCGCTTCTATTTGCTTTTATGCATTTAGCGAGATACTGCTCTCTACCTAGTGAACGTACAACACCCACACTGTAAACAATAAAGTTCCAGATGAAGGAGCTGCTGTGTAGCCGAGCGAACGTTTGAGGGAGAACTTTACAAAGTTGTTTTAAAGAGAATTCGCCAACAGTTTACTGGGGAAAGCAGGGCTGCGCTTTTATAAAAACTGCACTGTGTTCTATTTTAATTCCAATCTAGAGGCAGGAAGCAAGCCGGTGAAGCTATTGAAATCAATAGCAGGGAAAAATATAATAAAAAATAGAGAGCATGCACAGCAGACCAACAGCATTTCAGGAGAGTCAAGCAGATTTCCCCAGGTAGTTTCTTAAAAGCACACAGAAAACGTTCCGGTGCATCTGCGATTCATGACACCTAAAAGGTCAGTCAAGGGTAAATTTTTCATTAAGAGGAGACTCCAGCTTCTTGGCTCTTTTAGAGAAAGAGAACTACCGTGGCACTGCTACAGACACGAACATAAGCCTATAATTTAGTTTTTTTGCACTCTAGAGGAGAAGAGGGGACTGAAAAAGGTGGAAAGGGAGAGAAAAACCAGGAGGTTTAAGGAGAACACAGAGAGCAGAGGAACAGCTGGGATGCCAGATCAAATGGGTGTGCAGGAGGGAGCAGCTTGTTTTTGCCTCGGCGCAGCGATGGGGGGAGAACCAAGTGTGTAGCGCATCAAATTTTCATACGAGCATCAGTGCGCAGCTTAGAACTGCATTATAGATCCAAAACAGCAGAAAATATCCTTGAGGAGCAGCTGAAAAAGAATGTGGAGTATTTATAGAGCCGTGAGGAAAGAATGCATTTGACTGATTTAATTAGGCTAATTAAAGGACAGCGAAGGACCATCAAGCAAAATATGCAATTATATTGTAATGTGCATGCAATTATTCTGAAATGTGCCACATTACATTCCAGTTCAAGCCTACATGCTACTCATCTAATAAAAAATGAATCCATAAAATATGAAAAGCGTTCAACCAGTTTTACGGGACAGTTTCGGTTCTTGTGCCGTTTTGAACGTGAAGGTTTTGTAAGCAGGTGCTGGAATGCAACCATCTATATTAGTGCTCAAAAGTTCTCATAAAATGTCATGCCATGACAGGGAGTGTTGTTGATTGTAAACAAGGCCTGTAGTCACATTTCTGCAAGTGCACTGTAAAAAATGAAATGTTGGATTTACTTAACCATGTTATGTGACCCCGTTCCACTTAACTGAGTTGAGTAAATTCAAAGCAATATACCAGTTTTTTAACCAAAGAACATGAGTATGTTGCTTTGAATTTACTCAACTCAGTTAAGTGGAACGGGGTCACATAACATGGTTAAGTAAATCCAACATTTCATTTTTAGAGTGTGTGGTCCTGGTAATGTTTAGAAAAAAAATGGTCTATTTCGAATACATGCAGGTCAAACACACTGGCAGGTACTGGTTCCCAATAGGGATGAATAGATATGGAAATTTCAGCCGATATCGATATCCGGTGTTATAATTGCTGTTATGGCCGATAGCTGATATTTACCGATATTATACAAAAAACACAAATTATTTGTTATTATTATTATTTAGTTGTGTCTTTTTTCGACATTGCAGAAAAAAGGACCAGACGGCTGTTATGGCTCTCTACTTCAGTGATGCTTGGCCGTGCAGCGTTACTAACACTATCATGACCAAACGCATACCGCTCGACCAAACATTTCTCCTCCCAAAACAGAAACACAAAACCAAAATGTGGGAAATCAATACTGGATGTTAATATCAGCCCAGTTTTACTTATCCAACTGATACAGAGATTCTAAAAATGACCAACATCTGCCGATGTTAATGCAAATTTATCGTCCATCCCAATTCACAACCACTGAGATACAGACCAACAGAATGTAGACAATAAACAATGAAACACGATAATAAAATATCACAAAGATAAACAGAAAAACACACCAAACTTTAGCTGTTACTGTGTTTATAGGGTTTGAGTTTTGTTTGGATACTGACAATATTTCTGCTTGGTTTTAGTTGATTCCAGTCAGAGCAGACTTTGAGCAGTTTTTTTTTCTTAACCAATCAAGATCTTGGCAGTGAAGACTATGCTGAACTGCTTATTAACACCTCTAGTCTGCCATCAAGCACACTCTGAGAAGATTTAAGAACCTTAGAGAGGAGTGAAGTGTTTCAGAGAGATGTTTGCTCACTGTATTATAATCTGAACATTTTGTTTTTTCACTTAATTCCTCAGAAAGCATTCGATTGTCAGATTTTCATTTTTGACAAACCACAAATTAAAAAAAAGCAAATTTTGCTCTTGTGCAGTTTTAACTTGGTCTCGACTCTCTTGGTCTCATTGACAAAAAGATGCATATCTTTGTCTTTAACATGTCTTGGTATCGTGAAACTCTGGTCTTCAAATCAACAATTTTTGCTTTGCTTAGGTAATGATTACTGCAACACTTCTCCAACATATTGCTGATTTTAATTTAAAGACTGTTGGACCCTTTAGATGTGAGAATATGTGACTGTCATCTCATCACTTCACCATAATATAACCTAATTCCAAGGGGAAAAAAAGCACCAAGCATTTTTTTTATTCAGTGATACTGATGGGTCACGATGGGTTTATTCAACCGGGAAAGAAATGTGCTGCATTATTATCATTAAATGCTAATTAAATGTTTCGATGATGACTATAAATACAGCTACAGTGGTTGAGAAATCACTTTGGTAATGAGGGTCTGTATTGTTATGCCAATTAGCAATATGGTAATTGCTTTATTTTGAATGCTGGTGGTATGATGCTGGCAGTATACGTTGATGGTTTGCTGTTCAGCTTCAAAGGAAGATGTTTCCTGGTTCGAATCTCAGCTGAGGTCTTTGGGGAGTTTACATGTTCTGTGTGTGCTCATGTAGATTTTTTACCAAGTACACCAATTTGCTCCCCACAGTCGAAAATATGTGTGATATCATTATAATATGATATTAGGTCTATTTGTGAAACTGTGGGCAGAACTAGAACTTTATTCATTAAATATCACTTAATATGGTTATTTGAAATCCATTGAAACTGTTGTGAAAAATGTATTACAGACAAAGACCTGTTCATAATCTGCATGTCTCATTTTGAAGGCAAATGTAGCAAAAACATGGTTTGCCTGGAACTGTGATTTATTTTGAACCTATTGGATGCTGCAAAAATATAGTGATAACCTGGAAGCTCTGATTTTCTGAGCACCTTTTACACAAATAAAAATGTTTTCTCAAAGTGTAGGATGAAGACAGATCTCACATTTCAGCCGTAATCGCAGTTATTATCACCTTATTGCAACAGATTGCATGCATATATATATATA